TCGCGAGATGGTTATCCCCACCTCTCACTATTGTTGAGCCTAACTGTAAGATCTCGTCAATACGAGGCCAGTATATAAGATTCCGAAAGTTCGAGAATTATTAGCGGGATGTTTATTCCCCGCTTCGTCGATGCTTATTTCTGGCTTCGCGAGATGTTTATTCCTCGCCTCTCAGTATCGTTGAGCCTAANATTCCTCGCCTCGTCAGATGCTTATTCTTGGCTTTGTGAGATCATATTCTTCGCTTCTCACTATTGTTGAGCCTAGCTGTAAGACCTCGTCATTCTGAGGCCAGCCAATTGTAAGACATTACCATTCCGAGGCTAATTTATAAGACTCCGATAGTTCGAAAGCTATTTTAGGGATGTTTATTTCCCACCACGCCAGATGCTTATCCCTAGTTGGAGACCTCGTTCCTTGAATAAAGGAAAATGCAGTCCCCATTCCTTGAATAAAGGAAGATGTTGCATTATCTTGGAGTCCTCATTCAGGAAACAAAGTTCGCAATCTAAAAAATTAAATTTGCACAAGTTCAAAAATAATTAAAAAAACCTCCTATTGAGAAAGCTTAAAGGAGAAGACTCTTCATAGACGATTCATCCCTATGAAGAGACGCGTGAGTACTTCAACGAGAAGTTGGATCCCAAGAAGGACCACATCTGCACTCACGAAGTGTGATACATGCATTTAACAACTAAAGTTGTTAAGGAAGCCTCAACATGAACGAACCACTCAACCTCATGCTCAGGAAAGTTAAAAATACTCTTATTAAGGCAAGCTCATAAAAAAATTATAAAGTACCTCATATTGACAAAGATCAAAGGGGAAGCCTCTTCATAGATGTTTCGTCCCTATGAACAGATGCTTTGGCATTTTGACGATGAGCTGGATTCCAAAAAGAATCACATTTGTGCTCGCGAAGTGTGGCACATGCCTTGAACAACTAAAGTTTTTAAGGAAACCTCAGCATGGGCGAACTACTCAACCCCGTTCTTAGGAAAAGAAAGGCAAGTGAACTGCCTATACTTGTGTAAATTATAAATAAAGTCAAACTAAAGTCTGAAGTGCTAAAGAGCCCCATTTCATAAACATTGATGTGCATACGGTCAGAAAATTATAAAGGTACACGACCTTCTAACACTTATACAAAACTATGAGTTTGATATTATTATTGGAGTGGACTAAGTTTGGATTATACTGAAGAGTATGGCAATACATTAAACAAAAACAGTAAGTACATGAAGTAAATAACACCAGGTAATGAGCTAAAAGAATTTTATTTATTTAACAAATATTTGACTTAGACTTAGAAAACTATTGTGATACTGGTATCTTAGTATCCTTACATTATTACTGCTGGCATATGCATTATATTATTGCTGTCTCGAGTACGTACTTCACATCACTGCTAGCAGGTTATGATGCATATTATATCTTAAAGAAATTTAAAATGTCATTATTCACTTTATCGTCATGAGTAATTTGAGGGGCAAATGGACCCTAAATTTATTTGGTATATGTGCAGTCGATATATTGTATTGTATTAGATGATTGGTTTAGTGCATATGACAGAGGAGATGCTGTCGAAATTTCGACAAATTATATACAACATCTATCTTTCGAGATAATTCGTAAGCCCTCACTTATTCAGGCTGCCATGCATATTTTCTAAGATAAATCGCAAGTCCTGATTTATTGAAGCTGCTCGCCTATTTGGGATCGAAACATATTTTCGAAGCAGTTCGTAAGTCCTCGCTTATCGAAGTTACTTACATTTTTTAGGTAATATGTAAGACCTCACCTGTATACATGTTATATTTTGAAGTTCGACCCACACATGATTGTACGATTCAGACTTGGAGAACTATTGTTATACTCATAAAATATTTCCTATTGGGCTTGGACCTCAACCCATTACCAATTCGGCCCATTTGTTTCTTTATATATTTTATACCCATAAAATATTTCATATTGGGCTTGGACCTCGGCCCATTACCTATTCGGCCCATTTGTTTCTTTATATATATGTGTGATCTATTTCAATTAAGGTATGTTCTCTAACCCTATCCCCTTCCCATCTTGCACTAATATTTCCCTCGTCCGACAATTGACTTGACCGTCGGAGTGCAAACGGTTGTCGAACATTTTTGTCGACCAGCGGCCTTTGCCTCCTAATGGGGTGTTTAGTGTGCGGTGATATCCACGTAGAGAGGACGTGACGGGAATTATATTGGCACATTTTTGGGGTCAACAAAATCCCCATTGAAAAATAATACTGGGAAGTTAGTTCCTCAACCTGAGAACAAGTCTTTAGTAGACTGTAAGTGGGTTTATATCATTAATGAGGGAAATACTTCTAAACAACCTCTAAGATTTAAAGCTAGATTAGTTGCAAAGCGATTTACCCAAAAACCTGGTATTGATTACAATAAAATCTTTTCTCATGTTGTTAAGTATACTACTATAAGAGTCATGTTTGCTTTTATTGTTTAATATGATTTAGAACTTGAACAAATAGATGCTAAAACTGCTTTCTTGTATGGTGACTTAGATGAAACAATTCACATAATTCAGCCAAAAGGTTTCATTGATTCTAAAAGACCTAATCATGTTTGTTTTTTTAAACAGGTCTTTATATAGTTTAAAACAATCACCTAGGCAATGGTATAAGAGATTTGAAAGTATTGTGTCATCTATTGGCTTTATGAGAAGTGCTTTTGATGATTGTTTTTATTTTAAAAAGAAATGATAATAATTCTGTGATTGTTTATCTTCTTTTGTATGTTGATGATATGTTGTTGATTGGACATAATATGAGTAACAAAAATGACATTAAAAAGACTTTAAGTGATAAATTTGAAATGGAAAACTTAGGTCATGCTTGAAGAATTCTAGGAATGGATATTAAAAGAAAATATATGACAACAATATCTTTTTTTAACACAGTCTGACTATGTGAAAAATGTGTTATTCAAGTTAGCTATGCATGATTCCAAGTACGTTACTTTGCCTCTTGTCATTTTAAATTGAGTAAAAATCAATGTCTTCATTATGAATTTGATATCAAATACGAGTAAAAAGTGCCTTGTGCTAATGCTGTTGGATCTGTTATGTATACTATGGTGTGTACTGGACCTGATGTTGAACATGTTATTAACATTTTGAGTAGATTTATGGCAAATCCAGATCCTAAACATTGGACCGCTTTAAAATGGCTCTTACGATACTTAAAAGGTTCTGCTGATTTAGGTTTACATTTTAAATTTTGTAAAAAGGGAGTTATATTGAGAGGATATGTGGATTCTGATTATGCTGTAATAAAGATAATATGAAATCCATAACTGCATATATGTTTATTTTGTGTGATACTTACATAAGTTGGAAATCTTAATTGTAGTCTATTGTGGTCTTATCTACTACAGAAGCTAAATATTTGGCTGCTATTGAAGCTATTAAATAGTCTTTATTGGTTAAAGGCTTGTTGTGTGAATTGAATGAATTGCATAATCCTTTTGTTGTTTATTCTGATAGTCAAAGTGTCATTCATTTGTATAAAAACCCAGTTTTTTTTATGAAAGNTTTGTATAAAAACCCAGTTTTTTTTATGAAAGGACTAAACACATAGATGTTAGAATGTATTTATTAGAGATATAATTCAAAAAGAGTCCATATTTGCTTAAAAAATTCCAACACAATTTAATCCTGCTGATATGGAAACAAATATACTTCATCTCAACAAATTTCAATCTCATTTGCAAATTTTAAGAATTGAAACTGTGTGAACTTTGTGTTTCCACAAGACTGTTTCTTCCTGGTGCTTATGATGGATAAACTGAAGTGTTTTAGTTTGTTTATATCATTGGCATCAAAGGAGAGATTTGATGGGCTGTGATGCCAATTATATTAATTGCATTCAGTTCACTGGGCTGTAATGAAATTGGGCCTAGCCCATTGAGGATTAGTTCGACTGTTGCCTGATAAATCATTTGAAATAGGCCCAAAACTTGACCTATTTTGATGGACACATGTGCTGCTCTGGGTCGTTGATCATTGGTTGAGATCTACGATGATGGATTTGTGTATTTAAGGGGCTTGAACAGTCGCCCTTATTCACTTTTTCATTCCATTCTTGTGCGTGAAGCTTCTGGGATTTTCTCTGTGTTGTCTCTTACATTCCTTCTTTCAATTACTTTGTACTTATAAAAAACTCTGGTTTTGGTTGTTAGATCTGTGTGATTTGAGTATGTGATTCTTCGATTGAGGATTTTGTGTTGAGATCGGTTGTTTGATCTTGGGTTTCATTGTAGTAGCTGTGATTGTTCGACCCTTAAGGTTTGGGTCTTTGTGGCTATTTCATTTGTACAGTATTGTTTTGAGTCCTAAATATGATAATCAATTCCTTGATGTTGATGAACTTTTTGTATTCTTTGTGTTCTTGAGTTACTGCTTCTGTTGTGTCTTAGTTATATCACACTTCAATTTATAATATGGCAACCCAAAATCTTACGATGCATTGCTTAAGAAATCAACAAAGCCCAAGCCTATTCCCTTTCCTCCTCCCTCGTTGATGGTTGTGAAAGTCATCAGAGATAGTGGAAGCAAGTATTAGAGAATTAAGGTCGGTGAGTATTTGAATTAAGATTAAACTTTGTCAATTATTTGACAATGAGGGTGTTTTTTATTAACTACTTTTTAAGTAGGGTACAAATTAATTAGATTAAGAAGAGGGTATATTTTGATTTTTGATGTTTTGAATAAAGGAGGTATGTTGGCTAATTCACCTTTTTGGGGAATTAACTATTTTTACTGGGTAGATTTTCCCGTAACAGGAAGATCAGCGCAAAGTGGAGTATAAAGAAACAGCCCAACATAAAGCCCAAATGGTGACCCGTTTCCTAAACCCCGGCGGCAGGCGGCTGGGTTTTTCACCCGTTATATCATACGGGCAGTTCAAGATTCATTTTCCCGGCAGTATTTAGGGTTTAAGCAGGCTTTGCACAATGCCTTCAAAGAGCAAGAAGAGTTCCCAAAAATCCTCAAAACCCTCGAAATTTGACCATGGCGGCAACACCCCTTCATCACCATCGTCAATATCGTCATCGTTCAATCTCAACCAGCATTCATCAGAACCAACTGAAGAAGAGCTGCTATTGTCGCTGGACGAAGCTTCTAAGAAGTTTCCATCTCTTATTTCTCAAAATGCTTTTATTGGCAGATTGCTGGAAAATCCCGACGCTGCCGCAACTGATAGGAGAGGCTGCAAAATTTGGCTCTCTGAATCTGCCATGATCTCTTCGTCCATTTCTCCTGGCTCCCTTGTCTCGGTAGAATATTACACCGTTTTCTTTTCTTCTCTTCTATTTTGTCAGAAAGAATTTTTTATCAGTTCAAATTAATTGTCTAACTCTGTATTATGACTCATTATTTGTCTATTTTGATCGTTTTTGGAAGTTGTTTAAAACAGCCACTATTTTTTTTATCATTTCTTCATCTATTGGTGAAGAAGCCATAAATTTCTCGTCTTTTAGTTTTCTGTAAGTGATCATTATGTATTTATATGATAGGTATAAAGTAGGGGGTTCTAGGTGCTTTTCATGGCTATTCGCGATATAGACACCAAGATGTTGGAGATTGGAGGTGATGAAGTACATGAACTGAGCAATTCTGATACTCAGGCTAGATTATTCACAGGGAGGGATGAATGATAAACAATATTACTCAAATCTGAAGGTTGATCAGCTTGAGGATTACTCAAATGTTTTGTGCTCTGCACTCTGGTTAACGCAAAACAGAATACCAGACTGCTATATATATGCTCATTTGGTACTCAGAGATGGGATTTTAAGAAACGTGTACATGATTAGAGCATGACATTCAAAAATGTTGAGATGGATTTGCTGTAAAACTTCACAAGATAAAGCGACAAATGTGCATGCTTGTTGGATAAAGTGACATCTGTTGAAGATACATTTCTCTAGAACTGATTAGGTTGACTCGAGCATTCATTAAAGGTAGCTGAATGGCCCAGTTAGGAAACGGCATGGGACTATTATTTTTAACAAATTTAGAGGAAGGGATTGACCAAATATCTCATGGAATTACATTAGTAGAAATGATGGACACCTTTACAAACTAAGTTTGGACTTGGCCTTTGGTAGAGCAAAGTTGATAATATAGCCAGCTGCAAAATAAGATAAGGTTTTGTGTTGAATATTTGTATTATGAAATATGAAAGCACATAAGATACTCCATATCTTGTCAATCTCCATCTATTTATGCCAAACATCTCTATGGAACTCTGACTAAAAATTCGGCCTATAATTGTGGGTACAAGTACTGTATTCCTTTGCTCCATTTTTAGTTACTAAGATATGAGTCTCATAATCATATATTTAATCCATTTCAATTCCATCCTAATGTTTTATTAACATATTTTTCTTTCTATCTCAAGTCTCTTACCGTTAAATTTCAAATTTATTTAGTGTCGTGAGATTTTTGTGCATTTAACAAATTTTGTTCTATCAAAACAGAGATTGATATTCTACTTAATCTCGCAGGTCTCCCTTGCTCCTTTGGAGAAAGATCTAAGTGGCTTTCCTCTTAGCTCATTATCAAATGAATGTGCTAAGTGCTTAAGGTTTGAGTTTGCTGAAAATTTGGCTGATGAAGCTGGAAATTACTTTGCCCTTGCTACTGTATTCGCTTCTTGTAAGGTATGATGATGACATAATCTATACCCCCTTTTCTGTTGCCTCAAATTTCCTGCAATTCAGTATCTAAGACGTTAAAGAAGGATTGCTAGATGATGCACTGAATATGTGTTATTGAGAGTTTGACTAGTATTTTGTCTGTCTAGGTTTATGAATTATGCATACACGGCCAAAATTATAAATATCCCTCATTCAAAAGCTTGAACAGGGAAGCAGTGCTTAAAATCCCTGAAACAATGTAATGTTTTAGCTATCATAGTACTTGGATTGATTGACTAGCAAACAGTAATGTCTCTAGAATATTACCATAGGCTCATATATATATATATATCATGACCAAAACCCCTTGTGTTGGACAACCCAGGAATGGAAAAACTTAACCAAAAATGTTAGTGAACCAGAGAATGAGTATTCGTGGTCCTTCTCTGCATTTGTGCAGGTGCAACATGTCTTGTTGTTTCTTTATATTTGATCTGTGATATGAAACACACTGAATGAATGGCATAATGGGCCTTAAGCAGCAATTAATCGGCTTCACAGTGAACCCAGGGCATGACCAATGTACAATAATTTTATTTAGTTCCTATGAATAAACCAATATTGGTGATGTAATAGGTGAAAAAACTACTTTCTTCATGACAGGCAATTCAGAACCTGTTATAACTAATAATTGTTGTGAGCAACTCATTCTATATATCTTTCCTGGAGCTATTGATAATTAAATGTCTTCTTATTTTGCCTCAATTCTTTTGGTTATTAAATTAATTTTTGCTTCATATACAGGTTTTGAAGAATGGAGTGCGCTTGTCTTCAAATCTTTCATGTATGATGGGTTGTCCAGTTCCAGACAGGATTGTTTTCGTTAATCCTGTTAAGTATCAACCCCTGACTAACAATTGGGGTAAGTCATATGGCCATGCTGCCAGTTCTCTGTCAATAAACATCTGCAAGGAGCTACATCTGTTACTGATATCTGCAAAGAACAACTATACCATGGAAAGTACTGCATCAACCCACCTCAATATGCACAGGGGAACACCAAAAGTTCAAGTTCAAAATAGCAAGATTTTATCCCCGAAGACACCCTTGCTTGTAGAGTCTAAACTTAGGTTGCCTCCATCAAATCAGGATGAGTCAGCACCAGAGAACACACCCTTTATGGAGGAAGTTTTAGGGGATGATTCTACAAAGAAACTCCTGCAGACCTGCATAGCTTCGTGGTTGTGTTCACGAGTTTTTCTCCGTGGAAATTTTGTGATAGTTCCGGTACTTTCAGGCCTCTGTATTTTTCAGGTTATGGGTACCGGTAGATTGTCTGCAAGTAATGAAATTCAGCATCTGACAGACAACATAAATCATATTCTTTCTCCTCGAGCTCCATGTATGGAAGACACGCATTACGCTTTTTCTGTAGATCAGGGGACAAAAATTCATTTACAATCACCAGAAAATGCAAAAGATATTTTGGGAGTCAATTTCACAAAGTTGGGAGGTCTTTCCAAAGAATTTGCATCTTTAAAAGATAATATAATTCGCTCAGTAGTAAAGGCTACCGATGCAAGGTAAATTTAGTATTTACTTTAGTCATTTCTTGTTAATTCTTGGACCATATTTTTTTCTATCGCTTGGAGTTTTCTAGGTGATTGTATATCAGTGACAAAGTAATATAATATAGCAAATTAAGGAAAATTTATCTGCCTCTTAGCTATCAGAGTTGCACCTCATTATTACATACTGAATCATTTTTCAATTATTATTTCTTTTTCTCAGTTCCGAATTTCTCTTCACCCACACTAGCATTTTTAAATATTAAGAGTGTGGATGAAGTGTTTCTACGTTATTTCATGTCTGGATGTGCTGAATTTTAGCATGTTGAGCGGTTACATGCTAAAACACAAGGCTCTACTTGAACTGTGTGTAATACTGGATAGAATGTAGATTTTCAGAAAGAGAAAGAATGTAGATTTCATTTTTCTACAAATAGTGATTATTACAATTATTGTTTTAGATATGGATTCGGGCCTATGAGGGGAGTGCTTCTTCACGGTCCTCCAGGAACAGGAAAGACTTCTTTGGCTCTATCGTGTGCTCATGATGCTGGTGTTAATCTATTTTCTGTGAATGGACGTGAAATTACAGATCAGAATCATGGAGATGGTGTAGAAGCATTACTTGATATCTTTGATATAGCTAGTAAAGCTGCACCTGCTGTGGTTAGTTTCTTGCCTCCATTTCTTGCATTTTGTAGGTATTTTTACTTCTGAGTCAGCTTTTCTTTACTTACGCCATCAGGATGCACTGATGTTACTAACTGATAGTAGTTGAAATGGGGGGGTAAGGACTCGGTGAAATGCCTGAAAATTCAAACTATTTTGTTTTTATCTCACTGTGTTGCAGTTACATTCAGCATGAGAAACTTCTGATTAGTTTAAATCGGATCTGGAAGTTCGACTTCAACAATTGAACATATCAATCTTTTTAAGTTCTGCATATAATTTTACAAGTAACAACAACTATTTGAAGTGAACTCTGCCTAACAATGAACTCTACCTAACAATTAAAGTGACCTTGTGGATCTGCCCTTATATAATATCGTGTCTTCCTGAGTACAGCATAAAAATCTAGAGATCATCGACTTAGTCTGGGGTTGTAACAGTAGAAGAATATTTTTAAATTGAATTTGGATCCAAACATGTGAAATTTATTGTCCAGAAGGTGAAACTTGAGCCAGTATATTGAAGAATCATCAGGGTTGGGTCTGTTCTAAAGTGTTGTCTGCTATTTCTGTCAGTCATTGTTCCTTCATTTTATTTATTTTGTATTTGAGTCGGAAGAGTTATATTTTCTAAGAAAAGAGACTCTCTCTATCTATCAACAACACGTCTTTATGAACAGTACATTTTATTTTCCGCACTCTATTTTTCTGCTTATTGGCTGCACCGGTTTCTTGGGTGTAGTAGGAAGAGTTTCTCAAGCAATTATTCTTGGAAATGGGTTCTATAATCAATCATTTGGAATATGAGTGATTATTCATGGTGATGAAATTTTTTAAGTACCATAGTTACCTTAATATGTTATTCGCTACAAATTTGCTAGGTCGTGTGATTTATTTGGACTCGCGAGTTTCCCGTCATAAAACTTGGCGCATCAACTGTATTGAGAAACTGTTTGTTAATATTGATGCAGGTCTTCATTGATGAGTTGCATGCCATCGCACCTGCACGAAATGATGGAGGAGAAGAGCTTTCCCATAGAATGGTTGCAGCTCTGTTGGATTTAATGGATGGGATTAACAGAACTGATGGTATATTTATTATTGCTGCAACAAACCAGCCTGACAGAATTGACCCTGCACTTAGACGGCCTGGAAGGCTTGACAAAGAAATTGAAATAGGTAAATTGATATCTTCTTACCATTAGCTTTTGTTTTAAATATGGATTTTGACACACCCGTATCTGTGACAATTTTTCAAAGTTTAAAAATCCCCAACCCCCACAAGAGAAGTCAAAGTTCGCTATCAAGCATTTAAGGAATAGATCCAATTGGATTGTTGTCAGCACTCATCATTTCTCAAGTTGTATATTCAGTATGTAGTTTAGACAAAACAGAAAATTTAAAATATGAGAGCTGCAAAGGTGGTGCAGGTTCCTGGAATATCCTGGTAGCTAAATTTGAGCATGTAAGCACAATATGCTGGATTAATCTGTCATCATGAACTTTGGTATACATATGATTCGTTTTATGTTTTTTTTCCCCACTGCAATTATTATTCCTTAATGAAATTTCATTACATGGTCTAAGAGAACCTAGCTTATTCTTCACCGGGTGAGCTCCACCTTTGGGTTTATACACACTTTGCATGGTATAGCTCATATTGGATAGATGATACCCTTCTTTTAGAATTTCTGGGAAAAGAGAGGTATGCTGTGTGGGAAAACTTGTTGTAAAGCATCCTCATAGTTCTTGAGTTTTGAAATTCATCTCCTACAAACTGCAGAACTGATCATCAATATCTGCTCTTGGATGCTAAATGGAAAACAAGGAAGTTAAATAACTGATAATTTCTCAACCCTTAAAAAGAAGTTTTAATCAATTTCTATGTTCTTGCATTTTTGAACTCCAAATAGATGTATTTGATGATAAAACAACCACCTCAAAATTAGTTTGCTTTTGTTGGTGGAGGTCCGCTGGCTAAATACAGTTTGAAAATTTATAACATGGGTCAATATATACTGCTACTCAATGATAAATTGAAAGAGTTGCTACTCTGGCACATTCTTGAACCCACAAATAGGGTGCAATTAGTACAACCAGTGGCACAAATCAGGGTAAAACGTGTGTGAATTACTATAATCACTAAAATGAGAGTAGCTTTACCAATAGGTATTCTGTCTGACAATTGCTTCTTATTATTTCAAACAAGTGTTTGGAGAAAAATACCAATAAAGAAAATAAGTAATTGTAGTAGCTGCTCTGGTGGACATCCTCGACTGAATGAATTAGATTTCTCCTCGAATTACAATGTCCCGTTCTAACAGAAACTGGTAGGAAGTACCCTGCCTTGTGCACCTTCATAGTTGCATTGATACCAGATGCCTGATTGCCTTAAATTATTAATACTGCCAACTTACGAAAAATTTCGTTACTTTAGTTGAATGTTAATTCAGACTTGCAGTTATTCATTCTACATATAGCTATATTCATGAGGGATAATAGAGGAAAGAGTTCATAGAAGAGAAACCTCGTTTCTTGGGATGAATGAAAATATTTCTACATAGCTACAAGAACTGATGTTTCTTATACAACCTTCTGGATGAAATTATTTGCACTTGGTGAGATTTTATTTGAAATGCATTAATGCTGCATATGTATTTCTGTTATTTGTAAGGGAGTGATTATAGTTGTATTTCATTTTTTCTCCTTTCAAAGAATAGGTAATTGGGTTATTAAAAATTTTAAAAAATATATATATCTTGTTGTTGTGGACATTTTTACTATTATATTAGATCGGAGTTTCTTGCATGTCTTTTCTAGGTTACCATCTCTCTTTTATCTCATTTTAAATTTTTTTCTTCAAGTGACTGATTATGTAAACTAAATAATTTCCAGCCTTGTGAGTTGTTAGTTAACATGTCATGTCATGTCATGTCTGATCTGATCTGGAATCTGTTCTTATTCCCAAATAAATTGTTTGTAGGCGTTCCATCTCCTATGCAACGCTATGAAATACTGCTTGCCCTTCTTAGTGACGTGCGGCATTCGCTTTTGGACGAGGATATTCGACATCTTGCAGAGACCACTCATGGTTTTGTTGGCGCTGATCTAGCTGCTCTCTGTGAAACAGCAATCATGGTTCACCTTCAGCAATATGTTAACTTGGAAATCTCTTATGATTCAGATTGCGAATCATCAACTACTGCTTGCAATGCAGATTGCCAAACATCAACTCATTCATGTAATGTTTGTTCAGATGGTGATATAGATGCCTCCTGTAACTTGGAAAATACTCAGGAAAGTAACTCGGACGCAACTTTTTCATCCATTTCAGAAATTCAAAATTCAGCAGAAAATCTTCCCCGGATCGAAGTAAATGGAACATGTGATGTAGAAGAAGACAATTTAAGAGTGACGTTTGAAGACTTCAAGAAGGCTAGAGAGAAAGCAAAGCCGAGTGCCATGAGAGAGGTACACGAACCTATGTTTGGGATTTGCAACATATACGGGAGATGTACACAAAGAATTCTGTAGCACGAGGCTTGTGTTACATCTTGCCGGTTTGCTCCTCTTTATATTGACTGTCGATATAATGCATGATTGGGCAACACCCCTTGCAGTGTGTTGGTCCAATTTTATCTGTTTCATTTTGCAATTACTTCCTGTGTGAAATACGACTTTGCAAAGATGCATCAATGTTGGCAGGAGTGACATGTAAGAATTATGTAGATACCCCATAATTTAGGTTATTTCTTGTTTACGCAGGGTCATTCATTACCTCTAATCTAAAGTAGCTGAATTTCTACTGTTTTTATAGATGAAATTCATGAATATGTTAATGGAGTTGATTCTAAATATTTAAATCACATAATTCCTAATCCCTTTATTATGGTTCTCTGACTATCGTACTTCTGAAATTTTAGCCCTTCGATGATGGTAATGTTCATTATTGTAGTTTAATATGGGTTGTCAGTTACTTATCTCTTTTCAGTCTTCTCTAGCCTCATGGTTTACTTACTCTTCATGTACAGATAAAACTTGACTTCCCAAAAGTTGGATGGGAAGATGTTGGTGGCCAGAGTGTTGCTAAGACGGAGTTAATGCAAGCCATTTTGTGGCCCCAGAAGCACAAGGATGCTATCAAACGAATTGGGACCCACCCTCCTTCTGGTATATTATTATTTGGTCCTCCAGGATGCAGCAAAACTTTATTGGCGCGCGTAGTTGCTTGTGAAGCTGGATGGAATTTTTATGCAGTAAAGGGCCCTGAGCTTTATGACAAATGGGTTGGTGAATCTGAAAAGAACGTGAAGTCTTTATTTCAAAAGGCAAGGGCAACGGCCCCATCAATTATATTTTTTGATGAAATAGATGGACTTGTCACAACTCGTGGGGAAGAAGGTGATGGGGTTTCAGTTGGCGACCGGGTTATAACTCAATTACTTAATGAATTGGATGGTAACTAATTATGGAAACCTTCTTTTCTGAATAGTTTTGTTTATCTAGATGTCTCTTGTTAAAGAGATTGTTTATTGCGAAATTCAGTAAATATAACCTTCTTAAATGTACTTTTAACTCGAGCTCTGAGTACGACTATAATTTGCTGGTAGGTGTGCGTGAAAGAGTTGATGTCACCATTATTGCTGCTACAAATCGGCCAGATAAGATTGACCCTGCTCTTCTAAGACCAGGTACTAGCCTGATATCTAGTGATCTGATGTTGATTGTTGCTATCAACGTTTTGTGGCAAACTCCAATAGCGATCTAACATTTCATTGAACTTTTGGTAGGACGTTTTGATCGACTTCTTTATATCGGACTACCAGATGAAAAGGATCGCGAGGATATATTCCGTGTTCATTTGCGCTCGAGGGCATGTAGTTCTGATGTATGCATTGAAGAACTCGCTTGTCTTACTGAAGGATACACTGGTGCTGAAATAAAAAAGATCTGCAATGATGCAGGTGTAGCGGCTTTGGAGGTGTGTTGAGTATTGAGTGCTAATCAAAATAAATATTCTGACATGTAGATTTTTCTTCTTGACGATTGTTTGGGAGAAAATTTTTTGAAAGGAAAAATGATTTTTTGGCGAATGTGGCTTTAATAAGTCTTATGTTCACTATGTTATCTCATTGTACTAGGAGGACCCAACTGATGGGGTAATAAAAATGGAGCATTTGAGAGCTGTGATACAAGAAGTCCAGCCATCTGATTACGAGTTTTATGAGAAGTTGTCCACCGAGTTTCTGACACGTTTTTACTCAACTCCCTATGAAAAATATTCGGCTCATCGACCTCGCTCAAGGAAACCAAATGATATATCTTTCTGGTATGTCTTTCTACATTGCAGCATGCTTTCTGGAAGATCATTAGGTTTCTATTTTCATGTGTTTGACTAGTTGGTGATTTTAATATGCCGTGTCTCAGAATACTTCTTCCCCTGGATGGCCCTTTTTTGGTTGCCTCAAAAAATAACTTCTTGTTAATCTAAGTGGTTTTTTTTTCCCCAACCTTCTGCTCGATCTCTCTCAAATTGAAGTCAGTGAAAGATATTCAAACGAAGAAGAGAGAGTATATTCTACCCAAAATTGCAGATACAACAGTCTCTCACTTTTCCTTTCCCTTTCCCTTTCCCCTTCCTTCAGTTAAAACACAATCTTAATTCATTTAAAGAGAGTTAAATATGTAAAAGACCTAAAGTTAGAAGCTGCACCTAAATATTCTACCAAGTCAATGGGTGAAATTGATACCAAGTACTTTTATTATTCCTTTGTTAGTTATCATGGATATCTCAAAGTTCATTCCTTTAATTAACAAGCGCAATCCAGATAGGAGTCTTATTCTCTACGAACAAAGGAATCGAATAATTATTAGTGTAAGAAAAAACTTTACATCGACCGCTAGCATGAATGCGTAGATGTCATGAGCATGAATTTTTTAAGTTATCCAACGTGTTCCTTTTCCAAGTCTGTCCTTGAAATCTCCTGCCCATTTAAACTGGAACTCCTGGGTATTTTCTTTTGAGTTTTGTTCCTAGATGACTCGTTTTATAAGGTGGGTTAGACAGGAATAGACTGTAATGAAGAAGAAAAAAGAATTTAAAATCTTGTCTATTGTACTCTAGTACAATCTAATGTTTGGTAGTAAACATGCATAAAGAGTTTTGTCGCTTGTGTTGCATATATATCACTTAGAACCACTTTCTTTTTGCATTCATGGGTAAAGTTGTTACGTTTAAAATGTCATCTGAAACTATGCATGTTCTTTGGTGGAGCAGGAGCCTAATACAATCTACTGTGCATTTTCTGTACCGGCTCCCAAAAACCATTTTGCAACCAGATTCTTCTTGAGCTGATGGGTATATAACATATTTCCATGTTCTCTTCATCAAATTTTGGGGTCCCATGTTAATGGATCATTCATTTTGTTAGTAAAATTTTGCGTATTAGGACTGAGATTCTTATGTGTTATTACTTTATTCACTTGTACAAACGATACTTAGCTGATCTGTCCAAGGAATGTTAGTTGTAGAGGGTTGGATAATGCTCTTTTGTAGACATCGACTGAACGGATTCTGTAGTTAGACATATGCAAACATCAACTGAAGATATTTTGTAGATAGATATAGGGATCCTTGTTCAAGAAGATGACACTCCTTAATAGGGCTGAAGGCTATTTTCTGTTATTGTTGCATTATTAATAAATTTATTTGGAATGATGTTTTGATGCAATTGATTGGGTTTTGGCCGGAATTTTATTTTATGTTTAATAGATTTTCTGCAATAATAGGAATACAAGAGGCATGAATAGTGTGAATGGCTACAAACTACCATAAAATTTGATGCTAGATATGCTCCCTCACAATTTTATAAGGGCATGTTTTGTATGAATTTTTTTTTTTTTTATAACAGTGAATGTCTGGACTAACTTGCGCGCATCTCGA